ATTCCTCAAAATATGTTTGAAGAGCTGTATTGTTCTTTATTCAATTCTAAATGCACTACTAACATCTTGGTAAAATACTCAAATCTTCCTGAACAAGCTTTTGTACCCACCCCAAGATCCTTTCCTTGCCATCCACATTGGCTGTTGAGAAATTTCCTCTTATTATGCACTGAGTAGATGTAAATCTATTTAGCATAATAGCAGTAGATTTTCCTGCTGTGTATTACAATACTGGAAACCTTTTAAATATCACAAAGCCGGACCATTTTATAATCATCTCTTCTGTTCTCCTTAGTACCTCAAAATAATTTCTGAGTTGAGCCAGCTAATATCCTCCTGCTTAAGTGTTTCTAAATCCACTTCAATTGTGTGTGCACGGAGGGAGGGTTTCCTCCACACTTTCGTCTTCCATCCCTGTCATTTAATGTTCCAGTCCAATGATTTTTCCATTTCTGTTTCCAGTGAGCTCATTTTAAAGTTCCAAATGGCTCTTTACATTTATATCCTCTGTTCATTTCTTTCATTTCCATTTCTTTTCTTTCTTTTTTTCATGTCATTATTCATATTAGGATGTGCCACTATCTTTCATGTAATATGTTACATCCCTTTTTTTTTTTTCCCTCTATGTAACTGAAAACTTTTAAATACACATTTTGACTTCTACAATCAATTTGCTATCTTTTTTCTTTTTCCAGAAAAGAATCTTTTTTGTCCTTTTACTTATAAAAAATCAAGAATTCCCAAACACAAAATTGCTCACAGGGTAGCAATCTCGACTTAATCTTGTAAAGTTTTAAGAAAAACGTATTCTGTTCTAAAAAAAAAAACCAACCAGATACACTCAGTCCATCTTTTCTTAAATGTCATCTTCCAGCCTGATCTTGTTATAAAAATTCATTTTTGAATGATTTTTTTCAATGTTTATTCTGTATCTTGAATGAATACAGATCAGTTCTTCTAATAAATTAATACTGAGAGATTCTTTTCCAGCCCAAATGGAATAGAATGTGACAGCCTTCCTAGGAGAACAGGGGAAAATGTGTACTACATTACAATGGCTTTGCAAAGTCTGCTTTTCAATGAGATGTCCTGAAAGTACAACAAATATTCTAGACTCGAAGGATCCATAGCAAGAACTGCTCTAAGAATGGATTCTAGCAATTAAGATTCAAACTCAGAAAAAAAATGTTAACCAAATGCTGAAGTTTGTGAGCCAAGCACACAAAACAGTGTTGGGAGATTTCAAAATTAGAGAACCTCAAAGGAGGAGGACAGATAGGAGGATAATGGATTCCCCACCGGTGATAATAAATCGTACATAAGTGTTCCATCTGTGTGAAAAGACTAATGATTATAGATATTTCACAACCCAAAGGCCAAAGAAAATGTTGCCTCAGATTCTACTTTATTGTATATTTATTTCTATGCCTGTTTGGAAATTATCATCTATTTCTCCTCTTCTTGGTTCAGAAATTAGCTATACTCTGAAAGAATTGAGATAACTTATTTCCAAAAATGTTCCAGTTCAGAAAATTGGGCCAGGGTTGTAGTTCTCTTCTGGGAGAATTGAAGTGCTGCAAATTGGAAGAAAATGCCAGATACTGTTGTTAATGCAGGTTCACAGCTTCTGAAGCCTTGTTTGTATTCAAGTACTTCCCTTCTATGATATGGTAATATGATCAGGTTTTAAAACAGGTAACATAGCAGTTGCAGGAGTTACTTGTTATGAATACTTTATCCTGTGTATTTAACTTGTTTGTTTGTGAACTGAGCATGAAGCATATAAAGGTAGTTGCTATTCAGAACTATTCACTAAATAATGACTAAATCACTGAATAAAAATCTTCAGTCTGTGAGCATTGCACTGCAGCTTGTCTGTTTGCAATAGGTGATTGGTCACTTGAAACATAAATCCTTGTTAAGCTTCACCATTTGACAGAAACATTTCTGTAGCAGAGCAAGTGATAAACAGTTGAAATTTTGCATCACAGATTACCCTTCTAAAATTAGTGGTTGTTCACAGTGTTGGCAGCAGTACTCTCATGTCCTTTGAACGGTAATAGCATCTTAAGGAGACTTTTCCTGGATTTTGCCAAAAAGAGGTTCAGTCCTTGGCACAGAGCTATGGTAAAGGCGAATTCTGATCTTTAGGCCTCTCCTGCCTCCTGGAGACAGTGTTATTTCCAAGATAAGGTGCTAAAGAAAGTTGGAATTAATAATTTCTTCACCACTACACTGCCCTAAGACTATTTTCTCCTTCTGGAACCCTTATCTTCAGCAATCCTACTGACTCACTGCTCCACATGGCTGGTGGGAAGAGATTATGATGCTTTTGTGCTCCCTGCATGTCACTGCTCCTCCTTCCAGTCCACTGATTGGCAACTAGGGGGACTCAAAGTCTACACAGCATTGCCTCTTAAGCTTGGAGAGAAGCTGGGCAGGAATGCTTGTCCTGCTTGCAAGGGCTGAGGGTTATTAGCCAGTGGAAGAGCTCTGTAGAGTTATACTTCACTGAAAGTGTGCAGCAGAGCATACGCACCACATGGAAAAAAGTTTTTATAGTCTGAAAATCAATTCTCAAAAATATGCAGTTCTATAGCAAATATTTATGTGAGTTAGTTGTTCATTTTGAGTATAGTACGTGTTTCTCTTTTTCTTATGTCAGTCACTCACTGAAATTTCCCTTGAGAAAGAAATGCAATTTTTTGGCCAGCTTGACTTCGTATAAATATATCTCACTATGCAATGAGCTTTATTTTATTTTATTTTATTTTATTTTTTTTTGTGCCTGGTATAAGGGGGGCTGATCTAATGCAGCAATGTTTTACAGTTGAGAATCACCTCATATTCACAGCCTCAGCCACAAGAGACAAGGGCAGCTGTCTCACACAAGGCTGGGAGCTGCTGGTCCACCAGGCAGTGGTTCACTGAGGCACCAGCAGGACGGCTGCTGTCTGAGGTTGCTGTACCTGGCCACATGCTACGTTATGTATTAGAGCGTCTAGCAGATGGCAGTTTCTGTTTATGTAGAAAATAATGATCAACTATATTCTGGTACAGTTTTGTCATCATGCTGTATATGTACTTGTACTGAGGGGGAAAGTGATGCTGAAAAGTGGTCCCACAGATCACATCCAGTACTCAGGCGTGAGGCCTGCTGAAGTGGATGATTTGGTAAGTTAAGTATTCTTCCATCAGTAACTGACCAGATGTTAGTGAAAAAGTTTGAGTAACTCCTCAATATTTTCTACTGGCTGAGCCATCAGGCTGACACAGCCCATGTACTTTAGGATGTAATTTTGTGCCAGAATATCCATATTAAGATGTGATTTTAGAACAAAAGCGTATACACAGAAAAGATCACTGAGCACAAATTTCCCATCTCCGTTTTTTTTCTTCTTTTTTTGCTTTTTTTTTTTTTTTTTTTTTTAAATTTGGAAGTCATCAGAGTTGTATTTTTCCCTATTAACACATTCCTTCACCAACTATAATTGCAACCATTAAATTAGATTGCCTCCTCTTAATCTTCCACTGCTTCAATTCTATTATGCAGGGAAATAATGTAAAGTGTCAGAATTAGACGACGCAAGTGCCAATCTTGAGACTAGAGAAAAATATTGTTTTAATAAAAAGCAATTTAATCATAGTGAACTTTAAAGCAATGCATAGATGGCATTTTCTTAGATCACCAGAACATGCATAAAATAAATGGAAATCTTTTCATTAACAAGAAGAAATAAACATCATATCAAAGCTGATGGCATTCTCACATGCATCATTTGTATAGCTCAACAGACAGCTTAGAATTAAAGGGAGCCTGAGGCAAAGAGTTGGAGAAGCAAATAGGAGCACTTGAAGTCTTAATTTATATCTCAATATAAAGTTTATAAGGCTAGATAAAAAAGTGTGTAGTGGAAACATTAAGTCCCAGCAGTTGAACCAGCCTGATTAATATCTCTTTGAACAGAACTTACATTAAGACAGTTCAGAGGAGACACAGCTGGGTTTAAAAGGCAAAGCCTGGCACAGCTGCCAGCCTTGACATGAAATGATGGTGGAAGACTTTCTTTAGAGCTATCTTATGTTAAAATATGATATTAATCTTGCAGTGAGTTTTAAAGATCTCATGGTCTGAGTGAATGTGTTAGCGTTTGAAGCACTGAAACATTTACAGATCTTCCTATGATTTTTTGAAGACTATCAAAGATTAATTAGATCTATGGCACCTTTAGGAAAATGCTGCTTTTTTAAAGGCTAAAATAAATTATGAACTGTCCCTAGTTTTTTTTTAGTGTATAGATAAAACTAGTGACCTCTGGACTGAGTAATTGATTTCCAGTGCTTCATCCCACTATCAATCAAATATTTTTTGATATTTCACATAGTAGGAAAAAAAAAGGCTTATTTCCATCATGAGTAGAATTATGTTAATTTTGCTCTGAAGTGTAAAACACGTATGATTAGAGAAATGACAGAATCATAGAATCCTTAGAGTTGGAAGGGACCTCTGAAGGCCATCAAGTCCAACTTCCCTGGGGACAGCTAGATCAGTTAGCTGAGGGCCTGATCCAGTCTCTCCTTGAAAGTCTCCAGGGACTGGGCATGAACCATATCACCGGGCAGCCTGTTCCAGTGCCTCACCACCCTCACTGTAAAAAACTTTTTCCTTATATCTAACCTAAATCTACCCTCTTGGAGCTTGAAACCCCTTGTTCTGTCACCACAGACTCTGCTAAAGACTGTCCTGTTCTTTCCTATATCTCCTCTTTAGATACTGAAAGTCTGCTATTAGGTCACCTTGGAGCCTTCTCTTCTCCAGGCTGAACAGCCCCAGCTCTCTCAAGTTGTAGGAGAAGTGTTCCATTCCATGGATAACTTTTTTGGCTCTCCTCTGGACACTTTCCAGCAAGTCTATGTCTCCCCTGTACTGAGGACTCCACATCTGGATGCAGAGTGAGGCCTCATGAGCACTGAGCAGAGGGGCAGCATCATCTCCCTCAACCTGCTGCCCATGCTTCTATTGATCCAGCCCAGGATACAGTTGACTTTCTGGGCTGCCAGGGCACACTGCTGGCTCATGTCTGGCTTACCATCCACCAGCACACCCAAGTCTTTTTCTGGCAGGGCTGTGCTCAATCCTTTCATCCCCCAGTTTGTATTGGTAATGAGGGTTGCCTCAATTCAGATGTAAGATCTTGCATTTCGATTTGTTGAACTTCATGAAGTTCATCTAATCCCACTGGTCAGCCTGTCTAGGTCCCTCTGGATGGCATACTGTTCCTCTGGTGTGTTCACTGCACCCCACAGCTTGGTGTCATCAGCAAACTCACTGAAAGTGCACTCAACCCCACTGTCAATGTCATTGATGAAGATATTAAAGAGTATTGGTCCCAGCACTGACCCATGGGGGTCACCACTTGTCACTGATCTCCATCCACACACTGAGCCATTTACAACCACTCTACTGTTTGTTTATTGTGTGATTTCTAAGATGGGTTGGGAAAATTTTCATTGGTGGATCTTAAGAGCTGGTTGTTCACTCAGCAAACAAGCAAATAAACAAGCAAAAAGGAAAGCAAAAGAATTAAGAGCAAGCTATTTATGTCAGTTCCCAGCTCAAACATTTTTATTTGAAGGTTTCTCCATCAGTTTTTTCACAGTATGATTTTTTTTTCTATAGGTTACCACAAAGCTGTTCTTGGAATTCATTTAGGCTTCCTTTTTAAGCTACTATTATTACAATAGTTACTTTCTCTGCAACAGCAAAGGTTCCCTTGACTTTTTTTCAGATTTGTTGAAACTATTTCAACCCCTGCAATCCTCCTGTCCTTAGTGCAGCAACCTGGCTGTCCTGCAGCTGTGGCCTGTAGGGACTGTTTGATGTCTTCTTCCAGGACAGCTTCTTCAGTTGCCAAAGAAGTTGAGAGATGTTTAAATGTAAACTATGTTTTTATGACCTTGCTTTTGTGTGTATGTAATCGCAGTTAATGTCCTCAGAATTTTGTGCAGTTTAGGGCAGATGTGGACCTAAACTCAGTGATCCTGACTGTGGGAGAGGTGTAGAGCACCTTCTACTCAGATGTAGACATGTTTCAAAGCTGCAGACCCCGAAGTCTGGGACAGGGACAGCTGGGACACCAGTCTCAACCTGCCTCTGGTGTTTCTGGCAACCACTGGCTAACCAGGGCTGCAACCATCCCCTTTGCCCTTTCATGCATGTTGATGTGAGCTGCTATGAGGACGATGGGGAGGTTCATACACAAGCCTCTGATTTGCAGTCTGATGCTTTTGGTGTAGACAAATTTGGATGGTTGTGTACAAAGCTTAGGTCATGTAAAACATTACTGACAGCATGTGAAAAGAATAGTCACTGTGTTGCCAGCCAGGGCAGGAATGATCTTAACAGCTAATGATGAAATGTAGCTTCTCTATGGACTGCTCTCTGTTGCAGTATGTATTATTATTTCCATCAAAGTGGCATGCTATTTTATTACCAATGTCTTGTATTACTACCATAAACTGTTAAATGTATAAGCACATCAAATGTTTCATGCATTATTTTAATGTTAACCAAACAATCACTTTCTAACATGACTCTCACAAAAGAGATGAATGTAGACATGCATCACTTATGTGGGAAGGTAGTTCTTGAAATGATTTGGTTCTTTGGCTCTTGGTGTCAAAAGAGAAAGTAATTCCAGTATTATGGGATTTCATAGTCTGAACGAGGTCACTGCTGTTTAGTTATGCATCTTATTTTATCTTCTTTCCTCTAGAAAGTGGCCACTCAAATAAGCTATCCAAAGTTCCATGTCTTCAAATGTAATAGGACAGAAAACAGGAAAGTGGGAAAGACGTCAAAGAGGAAACAAGAGAAAGAGGCAAGAAAAGAGATGCAGAAAAGCAAATAGGGATGTGCTTATGTAGAAGAAAGGATATGAAGATATAGAAGAAAACTTCACAGAAAATGCTGAAAGGAAGTGAAATTAGAATAATTAAAGTCATTTGGAAACAGAGAAAGTTTTAAAGAGTCAATGATTTGGAACAGTCACTGGAAATAGACATACAAGAGCTGCCTGATGTTATGCAGGAATCTGTGTTGAAGGAATCCAGCCTGTTTGTGGCATTTAGCACCCAACAGCCCTGTAGATCAGCTGAGGCAGCAGAATCCTTTCTTCTTCAAGGCACATCCTTGGCCTTCAATCCTTCCTTCCTATGCTGACATCTGAAAAAAGCAAAGGTGCTCTCTGAAATACAGGAACAAGTCAGTCCATACTCTGCTTGTAAATAGCATTTGTCAGAGAGGGAAAGGTCTGTTGTCACTGGTGGGGTGAGATGTCACCAAGGTGCAAGGATACCACAACACGCATGGTGCAGCCCACAGGCAGCTTAATATTTTACTCATTTTTCATTGTGATTCTGGCAGCGGCAATATCTGTACAGCACATAAGTTTTCAACTGATGAGAAAAGGCTTGTCATTTTTGTTAAAGATATTCACATTTCTGTGTCACAGAATCATAGAATCATGAAATCACAGAATATCCTAAGTTGGAAGGGAGCCACAAGGATCACGGAATCCATAGTGGAAATACTAAGCTAGGGCTTGAAGCAGTAATCGAGCACCTGGTGAGAAGGCAGGGCCAACTCAAGGGATCTCAGGTGCATGCAATGCATCTGAGTGATGGAAGGGGTGGATCCTGGCTCCACCCCTTCCCAGACCTCATTTAAGGGTTGGCAGTGGAAGGGGAGGATATTTTTCTGGAGATCTTTGCATGCCTGAGGTCTTCTGAAGGTAAGCAGCTTATTTTCTTTATTTCTGTACCTACTGCTGTTGGTTTGAGTGAATCTTCCCTCACTGTGGCATGGGATCTTGCTGTTTTGCTGTCCTTGTTGTGCTTACCATTGCGTTACAGATTCCAACTTCTGGCTCTGCACAGGATGACCCAAAATTAAAATCTGATGTACAAAAGCATTGTGCAAATGCTTCTTGATCTCCAGCAACTTGGAGCTGTTATTGTTGCTGTGGGAAATCTGTTTAGGGGCTTTAGCATCCTCTGATGAAGAATCTTCTCCTAACGCCTTGCTTGAACCATCCATGGGCCTCTCTACCCTCACGGGAGTTAAATGCTCCCCCCAGTTTAAAGCTGTCCATGAACTTGTTTATTAGATCTTCTAGTTTTGTGTTCAGTTAATTAAGATAAATTTTAAAGTGGACTAATCAGGGGCCAGTGTCTTTTTCCCTGTAACATCTATTTCTAAGCTTTCTACTTTCAAATTTGACCACAAAGTGTTATCGCTTAATCCCCCAAAAATATGGGATTAATTTATGTATCTGTAGGAATGTGGAGTCTAAATTATAATAATGTGGTAGTTTTAATTGCAAAAGTTATTATATGTTTGCAATGCAACTACAGAGCAGTTTAGTGATAATTAAAGTTATTTGTGGAACACAGAGTGAGATGTTAGATGAAATTGCTATATTGTCCTATTTACCCATAATTATTTGTCTAAAAATATAAGGGTGGAATTTCATGTTTTGTGCTCTCGGAGAGATGCTTTATGAGAAGGAGATAGTTGTTTAGGTTTGAATAAGTATTCAGTGTTTAAATTATTTTCTCCGCTCATCCCCAAAACTTTGCATTCAGTCTTTCTTCTACAAACCATGAAAATGCTTCTAGCAGACAGGCAGCTCTTCAGCATGTCCTCAGGTGCTTTTTGAGATAAGATAGAGATGAAAAGTAGAAAAGCATCTGTGTACTGGATGATAAGGGTGAAAACATAAAGTCACAGTGATTTGTAGTATCTCTATGATGTATGTGGAGATCCTTTATTTTTGCTCCTTTAAAAGAAATGGAGCCTTGTACTCGAGGCTAAGGTTAGGGCCATTAATTGGGAATTGTCAGAGTGACTTGCAACTGCAGCGAAGTGTCACTAAGACTATGAAGCTGAAGAGCAGTAAAACTATTCTAGAACATGAAAACTGCATGCAATTTATCTATTGGTGTGTTTATGTTTCAAAATGCTTTGAATAACAGTGATCTTCATGGTCATGATATTCGTGCAAGAACTATTATCTACTGGAGAAAAACTTCAGGTAAACTTTAGACTGCAGCTCTCTTATTTACTTGGTAGGTCTTTAGGAACTAAGTCATATTATTTAATCCCATCTGGCTTTAGAGCATGGACATAAGTCTGGTTCTCAATGGCCTTAGCACATTTTGAGAAAGATGGAGATAGTTCATAAGGTATTAGGTTTTTGTGGTAAACCGTAAAGTGGGGACCTTTGAACCATTATTTTGCACTTGTAAATCAAGGCAAAGACCTTGAAGAGCCCTTTTTTCCTCAGTAACAGGGGGGATAATTTGGATAAGACTGAGAATGGGCCAATTTGCTACAGCTGGTTGTTGAAAAACAAAGCTCAGAGCATCATTAATGACTTTTAATGGACCAAACCAGATCTATGCTAGGTATGAGTGCTGCACCTCCAGTACATCACTTATGTTCTGCTTGCTCTTTCTTCTTTCTCCCCTCTACTTGCTCCTTCTGAGGTGCCAACATGTTTCAGAAAATGAATCTCATAGTGAATGGACTGCAGCATGTTGCTCTCTCCCAATTCTTACTGACAAACTAAATTCAGCATCTATATCAATTACTTTGCACAGATTTCTCTCTCAAAGTGTGAGAGGACTAATGATGCCATCACTTCTGCTGGCACTGTCAGACTTCGCACTAATTTTTGGGGAACACACAGGAAGGAGGTTCATGGCCCTTTATCCCTTTCTCTTATCCTGAAGAAGAACTGCACTTCTCAAACCACAGTAACTGGAAAATAGAAGCATCTGAACCACACAACATGAAATATTTCTTAGAATGTAAGTATATGTGATTAAAAACAAAACAAAACAAAAAAAAACCTAAATCTCTTTTGTTCTTCCTGTTGAAGTTTTCTCCATGAAAAGGAAGAGGCTGTATAAAGAAGAACTGACAAATCACTTATTTCAAAACTGGAAGGAAACTTTTAAAGCGCTCAGAAAAGTTGCACATGGAGCTATTTTAAAACTAACAACAGAGTGATGACATCTTGGAATGAATTCCTATGGAATTTGAAAGCAGAAGGTAAATTAGTTTCAGATGGACGACAGATAATTTTTTTTTTTTTTTAAATGCCTAAGTGAGTTATAAACCTAAATCTTCATTTCAGACATGACTAAAGGCATTTAGAGACAGATTTCTTGAAAATATGACTTGGCTTCCTGAGTAATGGGCACACCTGGAAAGCTGTCTAAATGAAAGGCAGTTTTCTTTGTAAAGTACAAAACTTTTTAGACACCCTTATTAGGGGAGGATTGCAAGGAGTATTACTGGGTATTGTCAAGATGAAATTTGAAGAAAAAAGGTTTCTTAGAAGTCTCAAGATTTGGCCTAAAGGATCTCAGGTTATTTACTGACATTCTTGTTTCTTGCTTCCCTAGATGAGCAGCTCTAGATATACCAGATAGGAATACGAAGGGAATTAGTGAAAGCAAATTATGTATAGATTTTTATCAGTAAGCAATAAAGAGAAAAATCAGTTTTCCCAGAAATCCAAGCAAAAGGTACACGTATGTAGTAATTTATCCTATAATGTTCTTCAGAGAAGGATATGCACTGAGAAATGTATTGCTGTCTTTGAGATGTCTCTGTGCTGCAAGACGACCACAAACATTTCATGTAGGATGTGCATGTCCTGTCTGTTCTCTAATCAGTCCTTGTGCATTATGTGCTTTGAAACCCACTGTGAAGTAAGTTGACTTATTTTTTTAATTTAGCAGTTAAAATGTGAATTATTCTTAATGCTCAGAAGGGATTGCTGAATTTTCTCATCTTACAGCCTAAGACTGTTTGCACGCAAATGGCAAACTATATTATCTCCGCTTATTATGCTAATACCTTAGGTCCCAAGTCTATACGTCTTATGACAATTTTAATACAAACTATTGGATAAGGATTACGCTTATTCTGACACTGAAAACATAATCTGGGTGATCTTAGAATTACGTATCAGAAGTGTATGTATCATTTGACCTAAGTGAGGGATGCTATAACATCAGGTTTTCTTTATGAACACTTATTCTCTATATACAGCTATACTTTTTATGATACTATTTACAATTAGCTCACTATGGTGGAACCTATATTGAAACAAATCTTTGTAATTAATTTTGCTTTAAGGAGTAGAACAACATGGCACAAGAAACAATCGTACTTCAGTGTTTATGAGGTGATAATTCTATATAGCAAACCATTACTTGTATGCTTGAAGGAAGTCTGCTTCTTTCTTTGTCAGTTTGTCCTGAACACCTAAATGACTTTCTGCATGCATCAAGGTCATAATCTACCTGTTATCATAACATGAAAAAGTATCATCATATAACAATACATGTAAAGGTTCTGATAGTCTCTCTTTAAAACTGTTGTGCTGTTGTTTCTTTTTTTTTTTTTTTGGTCCCCCGCCCCCCCCCGGAGCGTCTCTTTCAAATGTTAATTACTTATTAGTTAGTATTTGATGGAACAGGTTATTTTTGTTAAGTCATGTTATGGCCAGGAAAATCTCAAGAGCATTTTGCATAAACAAATCTGAATAACCTGGTTACATTGAATACAGATTGTAGTGAAATAACTTTTATTGATTTCAAGGCAGACACTTCCAATAAAACCAGCCACCAACAGATGTATTTAATCACTCTAAGATTTATTTTCCGTAGCAGCTGAACTTCTGTCAGATCCAGTGACTTCCTAGACACTACAATGTCTTGTTTAAAATGGACATCCACACCACTTTGTGAATATTTGAAGTTCCATCTGGTCTAGGTACGTATTCCTGCTACTCTTTGTCCTGCCTCAAGTTTCTAAGAAGCAAGTTTGTAAGCAGTGCTGTTTAGTTTTGAATGCTTAAGCCCATCAGCTTTGCTGAACTTCAAGCACCTACTTACATTAAGAGTGAAGTACACCTGCTGTTATGGGTATTCTGCTTTCTCAGTCAAAATGCGTGCTAGTAGTGGTGATATTTTCCATATTTGTTAGGAAATATAGCAGATTTATGATATCTTGATATATTAACAGAGACAGTACAATTTGTAAGAGCTGTTAATTCTAAACAAAATTGCAGTTTATTAAGGCTGAACTTTCAGTTTGTTTGTGGTGCGTTGCTTCTCTGTAACTCAAAGTCTGTAAAAAGAGATACG